CAGGCCCCCTCTACTTCAAAAAAGAAACCCAAAACCCTAAAACTCTAAGACCCGAAAGCCCCAAAGCCCTAAAACTCTAAACGCCGAAAACCCCCAAACACTAGTCCAAAACCCGAAAACCCTGTATGCTAGGCCTCATAGCATGGCCCTCAAAGGGTCCTAATGCACGCTTGCGCAAAACCTTGAGCCCGAAGCACCAAAGCACTTAAACCTCTGAGGCCCTACACCCTAGAGCCTTAAAACCCCCAAAGCCCTAAATTGCCCCCCAAACCCTAGATCCCAAACCCTATATCCTCAACCCTACACCCTCGAGCCCTAAATTGCCCCCTAAACCCGAAACCCTAAACCCTACATCGTCCTGATGGGTTGTTGCCGGCAGGCATTCAAGCCAAAGCTCATACGAGGGAAGGCCCAGAGCCCGGGTTAGGGTTTAGGATTTAGGGTTTAGGGTTCAGTGCCTAAACTGCCTAAGCTCGAACCTTCAACAATCCCAAGTCCTGGACCCTCGTCAGGGTTTAGGGCTTCCCGTCCTGTTCTCGGGGCATCGAATCTTCTGACTGGAAAATGCCATTGCTACCAGTATCATGGTTTATTTGAATGGGAATTCGATTCGTAAGTCGTCGGTCGTGGGTCGTGGGTCGTGGTGGTGGTAGTGGTGGTTGTAGTTGTAGTGGTAGTGATCGTCGTTGTCTTCGTCGTCGTCGTCGTCGTCGTCGTCGTCGGTGTGGTAGTGGTCGTGGTGGCGGTGGTGGTGGCGGTGGTGGTGATTGTGGTCGTGGTCGTGGTCGTGGTCGTGGTCGTGGTCGTGGTCGTGGTCGTGGTCGTGGTCGTGGTCGTGGTCGTGGTCGTGGTCGTGGTCGTGGTCGTGTTGGTGGCGGTGACGGTGGCGGTGGGGGTGCTGGTGCTGGTGCTGCTGGTGCTGGTGCTGCTGGTGCTGCTGGTGCTGCTGGTGCTGCTGGTGCTGCTGGTGCTGCTGGTGCTGGTGCTGGTGGTCCTGGTGCTGGTGGTGCTGGTGGTGCTGGTGCTGGTGGTGCTGGTGCTGGTGGTGCTGGTGCTGGTGGTGCTGGTGCTGGTGGTGCTGCTGGTGGTGCTGGTGGTTGGTGGTGGTGGCAGTAGTAGGATTAACTGCTCAAGGTGGGGGTTTGTTTGGATTTAGGGTTCAGGGTCGAGGGATTTCGTCGGAGTTGGGGTTCCGGCTTTGTCGGTGTCGTGCTGGGATTGCAGCCCTGAGCCCTAAACCTTAAACGGCAACTGGTAAACCTTATGACGCCTGAACCATACAGCTCTTATGGTTACATCCTCGGTTCTGGGATAGCCAGGTGGTGTCTGACCCGGAGTTTGGCAGCATGTTCTACGGCTTTTTGGGAAGATTCCCTATTTACGGGGTTCAGTGCATTAGTAGGAAACCCTAAACCCTGAATCCCTGAACCCTAACCCCAGCCCCTAAACCACTAATAAGGCGCTGAAGATCCACCCGTTGGTGTGCTCGCCCTTCAACGCCGATTTCGATGGCGCTCTCCTTGGGATGATGTAAGGTCTAGATTGGGATGTTCGGGTTTAGATTGGGATGTTCGGGTTTAGGGTTTGGGGTTCCCCCCTATACCAACAGTCCTTAATAGGGATTATAGTACCCACTCCTATAATCCCTATGAAGGACTGTTTGTTTTAATGGCGAACGTTCCATGGTCTGGAGTTCATCGAGGGTTGAGGGGTGGTGTAGGGGTTGGGGTTTGGGACACTGAATCCTGAACCCTAAACGGGACTAGTATGTGGACGATGGTGCACTGAGCCTACCGGGACGTTGGGGGGGGGGGGGGGGGGGGGGGGGGGGGGGCAGATTTCAGCTTCAATCTTCGCAACTGAGTCCAGGAATTCAGCTTCAATCTTCGCAACTGGGTCCAGGAATCTAAGGGCAGTTGCAGGGTCCCTGACTTTGGGCCCTGAGTTGGGGGACCCCTATATACCCCATAAGACCCAAGGGCCCCTGTTTCAGAACACTTTAAGAACAAGGTACGGGACCACGTCAAGGGACCATGTTGCTGCCCGGATGCTTCTCCTCGTGGCTGGGTTTGCTAGTGGCTCGGGCTTGTGCTTCTGCAGACTTGAGAAGCGGTTTAGGGATTTAGGGGTTGAGGGATTTAGAGATTTAGGAGTTATAGGGTGTCTAATGAATGTCTACGCAGCCTCACTTAAACCCTAGGGTTTAAACCCTCAACCCTCATCCTTAAGCCCCTTCTTTGAGCCCAAACGCAGCCCCAGTCCAAGAGAATCTGGGCTTCGACTCCTGCAGGTGATACCATGACCATCCACCTGGTGCTGAGTGCGACCCCCCGGAGGGCTCGGGTTCAGGGTTTAGGGCATTTAGGGCGTTTCGGGTTTGGGGGTGTTTGGGGTGTGGGGTGTTAGGCTTTTTGGGGTTTTGGGGCTTAATCGGGTTTTGGGGCGTTGGGGTGTTCATTTTTTTTGGGCTCTGGTTTGCTGCCCTAAACGCTGTACCCTCGTTGCCTTAAGGCTTCGGGTTCCAGGATACCCCCCGAAACTCTAAACCCTAAACCCTTAAACCCTAAACCCTAAACCCCAAACCCTAACAACTGTCAACCCTTGGGTTCCCGGATCCGCAATTCCGGGTGGTGGCTTGGAGTGTCAGGATGTGAGCCCTTTTCCGTTTGGGTACATGTACGTAACATATATACTACACCATGCACGTGATCTACATATATATATACATATATATATATATACTTACTGGCTGAGTGGGCGCACTTTACACGTTTTGGGGTGGGGTTGGTTTGTGGGGGGCCCCTGGTGGTGTAGTGGTGTTTTGGGCAGTGTGATTTCGGTTTCGACAACAAAAAACCCGAAAAAGAACACACACACACACACACACACACACACCACGCAACCAACATCAACAGATAACATCATAAGCCCGATGAGCCCTTACACCTCTGAACTTATCCATATAAACTCCATCCGTGCCAGGCAGGGCTAAGATTTTGGGATTAAGTGTTAGGAGGGCTTGGGTTTGGGGCTTACAGGCTTCATGGCGTAGGGTTTAGTTGGGGTTCGGGGTTCGGATTCTGGGTCCTCCCGCCTCAACCGTAACCCTTTACACCACCCTGAACCCTAAGACCTAAATGCTACTCCCTGAAGCTTAAACCCTAAACCAGTCCTAAATCTTGATGTTGACACCCTGCACCCTACTACTCCCAGACAACCCCACATGAACCGGAAACTCTCAACCCAAGCCTAAAACCCTAAGGCCCTAAAACCCTAAACTGTACCTTAAACCCTAAACCCTACACCCTAAACCCCTAAACGCAACCCCCTGCACGGTTCGTGTACGGCGCCTACGCTGGCTGGGCCCGGGGCCGGGGCATAGTCGTTTAGTGGTTTAGAGGGCTGGGGTTTAGGGTTTAGGCATTGGGGTTTTGGGCATGCGCAGGTTTAGGGTTTAGGTGCCTGAGCTCGCCCTCGGGGCGTCCAGGCTTGATGGCAGGGTCTTAGTTAGGCTTAGGACAGGTGCGCTCTTCCGTCGGAAGTCCACCTGCTGGGGCTGCGCTTGTCCTGCGCCATCCCGGCTCATGGACAACCAGATCCCTTCCCTAAACCCAAACCCTAAACCCCGGTGGACTCGCTCGCGGCCGTCTGAGTGGGGGACTCAGAGTGTCTAAGACTAAGAGTAGCTAAGTTTTGGTCTAGACCCCACCTTTATATTATAGTAATGGACAACAACCATGCAAGCCCTGTCATCTTGTGCGAATTCCGCCACCTGAAATCATTCTGACAGCCCCGACCCTTGTCTGAAGCAAGCCCATATACCATTTTGAAAGACCCGATTGCTGCAACTACATGGATGCGTCTTAGGGTGTTGATGGGTGTTGTGTCGGCTTCTTCGCGATGGCTCCGGGCACCCTCTTTCAGCATGTATTTATGAGCCGTTTGTGTCAGTGTATCAGTGAAGTATCTGAGCTGGTTGAAATCCTGGTACATACATTTTCAGGGATACAAGGCTTGGCACACCATGCTCCCTGTAGGCCACTCATTGCCGATACATGCATCGTGAGGCCACCGACATTCCCGAAATTTCCGTATGTAGCATCAGACTCTGATTCAACTCCCTGGGTCAGCGCCCCAAGCAATTGAATGAAGAACCCACCCAAATCCTGAAACTCTGAAGGCTCAATGTTAACATGCCTGAACCCTGACGTTCACTGAAGCCCTATAGGCTGTTGGACAGGAGTGTTCAGGGCTTGGCTGGGTTCAGGTAGCTTCTGCTGCTGGCACTGCTTGCGGCGGCATCTTCGTTGGGCATCGTGCTTGCCTGAGCTGGCACACGTGCCCAGACCATGACAGCTGCCAGACACTCACCGATTTAGGGAGCTAGTGCTGCAGGTTAGTGCTTGTCATAGGACATTGGGTGACAAGCACGCTTGAGCGAAACCTTGGAATTGCTTGCAATGTTGGCTGGAGCAAGTGCCAGCGCCGGGGTTCCTCATGATTCAGGATTCATTGAAATTCTGCTTTCTAGACCTTATATGATGTCCGATGAGGTTTGAATCTCCAGAGGTTATCGCTAGCAAATAATTAATACATGACAATGATTCAGGGCAACGGGTGGTTGGAAGACGTTGGAAGTTTCAACAACTCTGTGAATGAACCCTTACTGTAAGTGCCTGGCCTCAGTCAACCCCAAATGAACTCCCAGATCCTTTCACCAGCTCAACTCACTCCCACCATAGCAAGCCAGTAGTCAATGTTGACATTGCACTTGTAGCTCGTAGCTGCTTCGTCTCGACAGCGATGGCCCAGTCTCCAGATCCCAGCGTCACGACGGAGAGCCCCACGGAGATCTTCAGTGACTCTGGCTCTGGGGGCTCTGGCAGCGTCTCCGAGCCTGAGGCTGATGGGCTATTGAATTGGTATTTCCACCCCATTCCTGAAAACCTCCCCGATAGGATTCAACTAACTTTCAGGGGCTTCAGGGACATGAAGGGAATATGGGGTTGGAAATGCTCGGACTATTTGGGATTTTTTGGTTAGGGTTTAGCGTTCACCCGCCATACGACGAGGAGCTGGATGATGAGGCATTGAAATCTGGCTTGGTGGCTGCCCTGGCTCCTGGAATGGCTCCGACGACCCTGCCGATTCCTGCTTTTGTGCGGCCGAAGCCGAAAGTGGTTCCTGCGCGGTTTCATGTGCCAGTTGCAGTACCAGCACGAGCACCACCAGCACAGGCGTCAGCAGCAGCAGCACCACCAGCACCACCAGCACCACCAGCACAGGTGCCAGCAGCAGCACCACCAGCAGCGGTGCCACCAGCAGCTCAGCCTTTGTTATTCAAAATTCTGACCTTGTTTTAGGGCTAGGGGTTTAGGTTTCAGGGCTTAGGGTTTACCCAGACCCCCTATATAAAGGGTCCAATAAATGGAAACACCCTAACCCCATTATCAGATTAGTCGGTGAGAGCCATCCCCTGCATAGGAGGGCTCGGGCGCGAAGCGCAAGAATAACCCTTCGAAGAAGGAAAGGGAGCGCAAGATCCGCAAAGAAGAGTCCGAGACCGTTCCTTGGCCGATGGATTCTGGAATTTCTTATAGAGTTTTCATTCTATTAGATATGGGTTTTGGGATTGATCCTTGACATTGAGGCGAAGCAGTGGCTGCAGCAGGGCCGAAATCTGCAGGGGTCGCACATGCAGCTCCAGCGAGACGTCCTCAATGACATGCAGGAAATCGGGAATCACCCCAATCTTGTTTTGGCCCAGGATGTTTTTAATAGTAAGCGTGTTTTATGATTTAGGCTCGCTTGCCCTGGACAGGAGTGCAACACCATGCTTCACCAGTATCATCAGTGCGTCCAGTGGTACGAAGATCACCGCCCGAGATGGCTGGAAGAGGAGCCGCCCTTCGGCTTTCCCTTGTTTATGTCCGAGAAGCATCTCTTCGAGGGCTATGCCAACGCAAGGAGTCGGATGCAGGGTCTCCTCGAAGAGCTAGAGGAGCCCTTGGTTGTGTTTCGTTTGAATTGCGTGTCTAAGTTTAGGGTTTGGAGCTTTCCGATTGTGGGCGCAGGAAGTTCTTTTGAGTCACCTTGCGAGGAGGGGGCAAGACGGCTGGCACGAGCTTATGAGCTGGTCGTCTGGTGGCAACGGCATGTGGGCCGCTGGCTGAAGAACCCTTACAGCGTAGAGCCACCACCTCGAGTCCTTCCTGCAACAGCTTAAGTTTATAAAGTTTTTCATGTGGGGTTAGGTTTTAGGGTTTATTAGGGTGGTTCTTTTGATCTGAGTATTCGGCTGCGGTTAAGGAAGACCTGCCATGGACGCTGAGGAGCGGCGGAGGCAGCAGGGGTTGCCACTTGCTCCGAAGACTAAGTCACCCTTCTTATTGGATAGAGGGCGGCATTTGGTCGTTTCTTTTTTGGCATTCTGATTTGGAGTAAGATCTTCGTCTTCTGGACTTCGCCGATGAGCTGCTGCTGGTGGGTTGCTGGTGGCACCTGTGCTGGTGGGGCTGGCTGGGCTACTGAGTGCCACTCGCTGAGTGGCGGGCCACTTGTGTGACATTCCAAACTGGGAATGGCTATAGCGGCTTAACCTAAGCGCACTAAAGCTCACTAAAATATAGCCTACCGAGCAAGGGCTCTCATACAGGTGGCTCATTGTAGGCAGGCTGCAGTGCGCCAGTGCCAGCAAAAAAGTTGCAGACCGAAGCTGCACAATGCTTCTGTGTCTCTGTCATGATTGATTCCTAGATAACTCGTTGGTGTTTGCACACTTGGATGCCCTCATCACCGGGCGTGGAATTTGATTCGCCTGTGCTGCTCAGGTGCTTGCCTGCGTCCCTGTGGCTCCCCGGCGCCTGCGCCCATAGAGGCTGGAAGGGTTTGGGCGTGCGGGTTCGCAAATCGGACATACTCGAACATACAGCCCTGGCCAAAACCCTTGCTTCGATTCTATTCGGGGGTTCTGGGCTTAGGGAAGTTTAGGGTTTGCCGGCTTAGCCTTCCTTGTCAGCTCACAAAACCCCCGCCCCGGCCCTCAGTTCAGTACAGGGCAGTGCAATACAGGGCAGTGTTCATGGCCATAGTGAAAACCAATGTGTCGGAAGGCCTACGTGCTGCGCTAAGCCCTCCTCAGGTTGATCCGGCATTCGGTTTGAGTGTTTCTTGCAGCAGACTTGGCCTCGCCTGGGAGGTTCGGATGAAAGGATTCGGCTGGACCTGTCGGGTGTCGGGTTGGCGGAAAGCCTGTACGAAGTTCTGTCAAACGGTACCATCTTGCAAGCGCATGCTTGTACAAGAGCTTGGGATGCTAGTTCTGGGTTAGTGATTTGGTTTTTACGGTTTAGGGGTTTCAAGTGGGAATGTACTTTCAAACACTACCCCAAGGGCGCCTCCTCATTTCCTTGGTGTTTGAGGGGCTTCAGCTATATGTAGACGAAGGAGGGTGGCCCAAGGTTGTACTGAGATAGAGGAATTCTGTACTGGATGATCGCCGGGATGGTTTAGTATAGAAACCCTTTGCAGTCAGTAGACAAATACAACAGTTCCATCAGTAGTTGATTGAAGAATGCATCTGTACTAGCGGGTGGCTTTTTTGTACTGACTGACATGCCTCATGCCACCTGGTGTCATGACAGTCTACTCAATTCAATGTAATAATAAGCTAAGACTGAGATCTGTGAGATCTTGCAGCCATGGCTATGGAGTCATGCGTGGCACGCTGGGGATCTGTTGCTGGGCAATACGAATGAGTCTGAGAGTATTTATGGGTTCAGCCAAACTTTTGTTAGATGAGTTAGTCAGATCTGACGATCATTTAAATAAGAAAGAGAATAGTAGTCGTCTACTCTATAAGAGATTAACTAATAAGGTTAGGGCTTGACAATTGCAAACACAATCTTGCCCAGTACAGGAAAAAGCTCGGTCAGTAGAGCTTTGCATCCACATCACACAGCCAGCAGAAGAACCTGGAAAGTGCAAAAAACCTGTACTGACTGAGATACTTTCTCTACTGGTAGATTCGGCAAGTTGTTCAGTACAGAAACCCCTCTAAACAGTACAGGATTACATAAGGCATTCACATGCCACTGTGCCTGGTTCCATAGACATACACTGTGCTCGGGCTTTCAGAGTCCGTGTGAAGAAACAAAGAAAACTGAACGCTGGCACTGTGAAGAGTGAAATGACACCCACAATCTTGCTTGAGGCTCGGCTGGCGACCAAAAACTGCAATCAGTGCTTGTGGCAGGTGAAGGGCGCGGAATGGAGATCACGATGTGTTTTCCAGGACATGGATGGACATTACAAGACGTACCTCCAGGAGGCACCAGCAGGGCAGCCATTTGGATTGGGGTGCATCTTGTGCGCTGCCTATGCAGACTTTAAAGGAGTGGCCAACAAGACTCCCTTCCAGAACTACAGCAAAGGCCGTGAGGGCAAGCTGCAACTGGAGGATGTGTTGCGGCACGGCAACCAGAGCAAACGAACCTCCTACCACTGTGGTTTCCATCAGTCGGCATTGCACTGGCGGCTGAAGTCCTCCATACCACCGAAGGCCCAGGATGATTCTCAGGAAGACGCCCCAGTGACTGCTGTGCAATGCTTGCTTTCTCTAGAGACTCTCTGGAGCAGTCTTGGGGGACAGTGCCGGGAGTACCAGCGCCGGTGCGAGGCGCACCGCAGGACAGCGACTTCTCATAAAGTGTCAATTTTAGACTCGGGTTTGCTAGCTCAGGGCTCTTGTGGGCCTTTAGATGCCTTGAGTGCGCTGGACAAGTCGGGTTGTTGTAGTCTGCTTCTGTGAGCCCCGACTTGGAGGCGAGATTCATCCCAATGACTCTACCCGTTCTGAATCCCCTTTTTTACAGTTACAGTAAGACACCACAGCATTGCTGAATTGGGGTCAGCCGCTGGAGGAGTGACCCGTTGAACGTTCCCTTGGCCAGAAGCGACAAGGGCACCCACACCAAAATCTTGGATGCCTATGCCTCCGTCCTTTTTGACCTGGACCGCAAGGCCATGAAGAAGGAGGTGCTCTGCATTGGTCTGGCTGAGGACAGCTGGTATTTCGGCTTCCGCCTCTAACATTGTCGTTTTAGGTCCGGTTTCAAAATAAGGTGCGTATCAGTGTGCCCCGTGCCCCCTGTGAGGATGTTCGAGGTGGCGTGGAGTTCCTTCGTGCCCGTGTTGTCACGAAGGACATGTCCTTTCGATGCTTTGTTTTGGATCTCCACAACATCGACGGAAGCAAGGCTTCGCCTATGAATGTCAATTAGTAGAGGTACCATTGTGAATCAGAACACCTAAAGAGGCTTGCGTAGTGCGCGGCTTCGCAAGCGAGTGAGTGTAGATTGAGACGTGTGTCATCTGGTCAGTCACACTGAGGTAGCAGTAATAACTGATTTAGCAAGGAGTAAGAGTAGGCACTTTTGCTTCTGACTTGACTTCATGATTCATGGAGAGGCCTCCTTGGACAAGGCTCGCCAAATCTGGTCTGCCTTGGAGAAGTTTGCTGCTGGTGATAGAAAGATCTTGGAAGATTTGGAGCATCGCGTCAAGGCCATGATTTATTTGTGGCAGGTTCTTGTATTCACGTCCCTCTTGCCATGCCCCACTTGGCACTGGAGGTCTTCACTGCCGACGGAGAGAGCGCAGAGCCCTTGGCGGCTAGGTTCTGCAAGGACTGGTTTGTGCACATGTGCAGTTGCCGTGGCTGTGCTGCTTTTCAAAGTCCGCGTGCTGCTTCAATCCCATGTGTTCTGGCGTTTTGTACTGGGTACGGTACGCTCACTTCGCTCCTGCATACTTACACTCCTCGCAGGAGCTGGGCCACTTGAAGGGCTTGAGATCGGTGCTGCGATGCCGACTGCATCTTGGGCAGGGCTCTCTAGAGAAGGCCATAGCTGCGGATCCGTCCTGCCAAGAGATGGTGCAGGCTTTGATAACGGCTTATTCACCTGCAAGCGACGACAACAGTCTTGGGTCGCTTGCCCGTGGCTTCCACAATTCCTCGAAGCTCAAGCACTTGTTTCGTGAGAACGTAGTCCGGGCCTTCGAATCCTTGGACGGCAAGCTCAAGTCCGTTATTTCCTTTAGGTATGCTGCCCAGCGTTTCGATTCAGTGTTGGACATCGCGCAGCTTGTTGTCCTCCACGTTCGCCCGATTGTGACAGCCCTCCTCCAGTTTAGGATCATGGACCCCAAGAAGAATAAATGGGTCGAGCACCTTTTGAGCTTCTTCACAGGACCAAAGCTCCTGCTTTTGGCACTTCTTGCCGAATTTGCAGCCTCTGCAAGTCGCTACCATCACAAATACGACAATCTTGGGGCACAGCCGGGCCTAGTGACGAGGTCTGCTTTCTGGTTGCAGAACCTCACTGAGGAGATGCACAGGCTGTTTTTCTTCACACATGGTGAGCCTCTTGTTCTCTCGGATCACTACACAGCAGGCTATGTGTCGATTATGCGGTCCAGCTACGATCTTCTTGTCGACGAGAGTGTTATAAGTGGGGAGCGATTGGTTTTCTACAGGCCTGGCCTCCGATCGGAGGCAAACTTGCGCAAGCGCCTTGCAAAGGAACTGGGATCGATCCAGAACATCGTCACCCTCTACCTATCATCACTGGCGCCTGGCGACGTGAGCGTCGCGGCGTCTCTGAAGCCCTTCGACGTTGATTTCTGGCAGGAGAATTTCAATGACGATGCCTTGCCGGAGCCCAAGGGCCTACAATATGGGTAGAAGCATGTGTAGCTTCAGTGGGAGAACGTCACGTCATGTCAGCGCATCACCACAGGTCGATTACTTTGCAGCCCCTGGCGGACATTCTTGGTTCAGATGTCCCTGCCTAAGATTATAGTTCATCCGATCCGAGTGACATCTTGCGTCGTAGTGGTCGTCCTTCCTGTCAAAAGACTCATGTCTTGCCAGCCCAAATGCTGAAGGCCAGAAGCTTGGCCAACCAGTATCTGACTTGCCGGCCCACAGTGCTTCAGCTGCGAAGGCTTGCTGAGTTTTCCTAACTCACAATTGGTTTTGTTCTGCAACCTCAACATAAGCTTGTGGCAGGAATGGGGTCACCGACAATAATGCTTGGCTGCAAGCGGCGGCTCATTGGTCGGACAAACTGCCGTTGCTGCGAGAGGCAGCCTGAAACTTAGAGACTTAGACCTGAATCCAAACGAAGGGCTATCTTAGCATTGGTGTCAGCTCAAAGTTGTAACTTTGATGCTGATATGCCCAGGTCGCGTTTATGGCATGCACCTTTGCCTCTACGGCAGAGATAGAACAGCAATTTTCTCTGCTGGAGCTGCTGTCCAACGGCCGCAAGGCCAGGACGACCACTGAACACCTTCGGAGCTTCATGAAATGCAGATTGAACGGCCACTCGTTGGCAATGAGCAGTGTCTTTCAATAATGATGATAGACTCATAGTTAGACTTATAGGATAGCAACCTTTTGCCCGTATGTGAAGCAAGGGTTTCATTGCAATTGTCACAATCTCAGATACTTACTTTTGCAAGGCCTTCCACCTTCGGAATTCGTGGAGTGCCACCAAGTGGATAGCAATGCCGTTGGCCGATACGTTCCTTCAGAGCATTGTTCTCGAACGCAAAGGGCATTCTTACAGTCAAATGGTGGGGGCAAGAACACCCTGAAATCCAAGCTGCCAAGGCGGAAACAAATCAAGGCTTCAGAAAATGTGGAGGCCAGCAGCAAGCATCTTTCGATGGCCGGTTTGAAGCGGCAGAGGCGAGCTCAGCTGGAAGTCTTGCAGCCCACGGCTGCTGTTGCAGATTTGGGAGAGCTCTCAGCAGCTGCTGCTCAGAGTGCCGCTGACCGGCAGGGAGAGAAACATGAGAAGCTGGCCCGTACATTGCAGACAGCCGCTGCATCGCTGCACAGCTGCAAGTTTGATTTGAAATCAAATTAGCAGAGGCTATCAGAAATGATCAGTATTCTTGACAGCTATTGCTTTTTGCAAAATAGCAATAGCAAGCATACCTTCATCTTCTAAGAGACTTGTGCTTTTGCAGTACCGTCGCATCGTTCAGGAAGAAGCGGCAGTTCCAAGAGGACGTGCTTCCGTTTGGGATTCGAACACAGACATCCAAGAAGCTGAAGGAGCATCAGAAGAGAGAGCAAGAGAGAGATGCCAAGGTGGAAGTGGAGCGCCTGCAGTTGGGCAAGCTGCCAGGTCAGGCAAATCTGGATCCCAACAGCGTTTGTGCTGTGGCATGTACAGCAGAGGATGCTCCGGCCCTGGCAGCCCTGCGGCTGAAGGTAGAGGTCTGGGAGAACAGTGTGGAGCAGTTTCGGCGTTTCCGTGGAGTCATGCTGCTTTGGTACGCCGCCAGTGATGAGCTTGAGCTTGGGATGACACTGGGGCCGAAGCAGAATCGGCAGATGACTTCAGTTTTGTTGGCCACCAGGCTCTTAGGGGGCTTTATCGGCACAGCGCATTGGTTGGATGTCTGCAACTCCGAGGGGCGACTGATACGGCCAGCGTTGCAGCTGCAGTGTTCTCTGAGCATTGCAACTGAGATTTGTTTCCATAAGTCTTTAAAGGCCGATCTGGATCTGGAATGTTCGAGCGCTATCGCCAGATGCGTTGAGGGTGCCACTCTGGCCCGGAAGCCAGCTGCCTGGCAACTGCGTAGCAAGTGGAAGGATGTGCAGAAGGATGCATGCTTGGTTCTCATTGGTGACGAAGTCGCCAGCAAGCCAGAGTGCTTGAAAAAGCTCGCGGCAAAAGCCCAGAAAGAACAGAAGAAAGGTATCACCTCCAGTACGTTGCACCTTTTCCACCACTGCACCCACTGGATTGAACCCTAGGGGCTTCCTCTGTCTTGGTCACAGACTACACAAACCTTAAGGCGCAGTGTAGCCCAAACATTGCATCGCAAGTTCCTGGGGAAAGGAGCGTGCAGGAGGCGAGATTCCAGACTTCTGCCCGCCAGCTTGCGTCCCGAGCGCAAAAGAGAGAGTTGAGGGTTGCTTGCGAACGGCCTCACCTCCATTGGACCCCCCATAATGATAAAAGAGTAATTTGTCTGTTTCGATGGGCCCCTTTAGCCGGCGCCTGCTTGCCGGGCTGCGCTGGAGCAGGTGCCTCAAGTATGGCCAGGGTCTGGAGTTGCTTTCCGGATAAGACATCAAAAGGGAACATGGTAGCAATGCAGAAGACCTGCGACGCCCAGCACAAAGTCTTAGTCCAGAGGTTGCGCAAGAAGGTTGACCTGTTAGTTAGTGTTGTGCGAGTGCAAGATCGATACATCAGTCCTGCTTGATGCTCCCTTTGGGCAAGGCACACATTGTTGGGGGTTCATTGTTTGGTGTGTACTTGTAGTGGTAAAGGTAGCAGTGGCAGTAGCAGTAGCAGTACCAATAGCCCTTTAGAGTATTTTATTATGTATTTGCACTACACATGTACAACGACTACTATTACTCCTACCACTACCACTACTACAAGTAGTAGTGATAGTAGTAGTAGTAGTAGAAATAGTAGTAGTACTAGTAATAATAGTAGTAGTAGTAATAATAGTAGTAGTAGTACTCCTAGTAGTAGTTGTTGTTCTAGGAGTACTACTCTGCCTAGTAGTAGTAGTAGTAGTAGTAGTAGTAGTAGTAGTAGTAGTAGTAGTAGTCGTCGCAGTAGTAGTAGTAGTAGTAGTAGTAGTAGTAGTAGTAGTAGTAGTAGTAGTAGTAGTAGTAGTCTTAGTAGTAGCAGTAGTAGTAGTAGTAGTAGTAGTAGTAGTAGTAATAGTAAGGTAGTAGTCGTAGTAGTAGTCGTCGTCGTAGTGGTAGTCGTAGTGGTAGTTGTGGTGGTGGTAGTAGTGGTAGTAGTAGTACTAGTATTAGTATTAGTATTAGTATTAGTATTAGTATGAGTATGAGTATGCGTATGAGTATTAGTAATAGTATTAGTTATTAGTGTTAGTATTAGTATTAGTATGAGTAGTAGTAGTGTAGTAGTAGTAGTAGTAGTAGTAGTAGTAGTAGCAGCAGTAGTAGTAGTAGCAGTAGGAGGCCGGAATCAAATCACATCGGAAGTTGTTAGCTTTCCCAGGTTTAGCCTGGACTGCATGTTCAGAGTGATTTGTCGTCGGTTGGTTTGTGTCGGCCTTGAGGGTTGATTGTCCAGCGACGCCGGCTGCACATAAAGGGACATGTCGGGACAGCCTTCCAGATGAATTAGGAATGCACTCGCTCACAATGCAAAGAGTCGACCAACAACACTCCACGCCACTGTTGTTGCTCCCGTCAGTGCGACATTGCCAAAAAGTGTAAATTGGCATTTCGCTTCGTTCGAGGCCCGCTGATGGTCTTCCTGCCGGAGAGCAGCCAGCCCATGGGGCAGCCGCGTCCGGGACCGAGGGTGGATACATGTCACCAGAGCAGCCTGTTTTTGTTGAGATTTTGCCTGGAATCACGATTCTGATTGCCAAGCTGCTTCATGCGAACATGGCTTATCATGGCTTCTAATTCAACGTTCATGACCAGACCTGCGTGCGCCCAGACATGTTTGCATTCATGAATGTCTGGGAGCAGCTGCCCCATGGGCTGGCCGCGCTCGGGCTCTGTCTGAACATTTCTTTATCGGAAGCAGCCGCTGGCCCCGAGAGCAGGGTCAGCCAAGTTTTCAACACAAGGTTGCCGCGACGCGGCTGCCAAGAGCATGGTTGCCAAACGGGCCTCATCGAAGCAGCCTGATCAGAGTCAGGATGCCAAAAAAATCAAGATGAAGCCGGTAGCACAGGCAGACACAGCGGCAGATTCTGCCCAGAAGCCTGATGTGCCTGCATCAACTGGGGCCCTCTTGCGCAGCTCGGCCGAGATGCTGATTGAAAGCTCGAAAGGGCAACATTCATCACTCAGGCAGATTGCGGATTTCATCTTGCTTCCAATGTTGGACGAGCTTCAGTGGCTGGATGAGCAGCCAGACGATCCTGGAGGCCGGCTGGCTGCCACGCCAGATTTGTACAGAGAGGCGATGACTAAGGATGGCAAGTGTTGCTGCGTCGTGCCATTCCGATGGATAGGGCTTGTGCCTTGCATGGCATGATGGGCAGCCAATTGTGTAGCCTTACCGGTTCATGAAGTTTTTTCATGGTACTTCATGGGTTCTTGTGAAACTCAGGCACTGGAGCACCAAGACATGGTTCCTGTGTATGGAACAGTGTTGAGGTGCTACAATCACTTTTTCGCAAATGCTGGCCCGGCTGCCATCATGAAATTCCCCACGGTTGTGCAGGCCCAGTCCAATGAAGCCCTCCCGGTGAAAGGCTGCTATGAGACCATGGATGGCGCCGTCTTCCGCCTGGCATGGCTCCTGGGCTACTCGAAGAGCCTTGGCGACCCTGCCGAACTTGCAAAGTATCGTTCAGCTGCCCTTTCAATCCCTGTCATCTTTGAGGCTGTGTCTGATTGTATCATCAAGAAGATACAGCTGGATCAAGACAAGAAAGCAACAGAGGAGTTCGCTGGCCTCATAGGATACAAACTCACCCGCATTGCCGTTCAGGCCCAGGAGGAGTTGAAGAAGAAGAACAAGCCTTGCGGACAGGAGCAGGTGTACGCGTATCTGAAGAAGGAGGTTGACTGGACGAAAGCGGATGCTGTGTCTCTAAAGTCGGTCCAAATGGCAATCAAAGTTCACTCTAGGCTCAGCTCCCATGCGTGCAACATACTGGACCAGTTCGAAAGCATCTACAGCAAGGACTTTCCGTTCTGCCTTGTCCAGGGCCTCGATGCTGTGTGCCAGAAGACAGCAGTCCCTTCGAACCCAGGTCTGGCAACAAGGCGAGTTTATTTCGTCGTTGCGCAAGGGCACAGCAGTCTGCGCACATGTCCTTGCAATAAAGGCAGCAGCAGCTTGCTACTTGAGGTTCCTGGAATACGTGCTGGAAGCCACGTTCGTGCGACAGCTCCGGGGCCACCCTAACAACACTGGCAAGGCAGGTCGTTGTAGCTTCTCATCTCTCATGCCACAAGATGCATTGCTTGCCAATGCTTTTTCCTGCAGGAGGGCCGGGAGAAAATGAAGGATCTCAGCGGTCTTTACTTGGCCATCAGACGCATGACGCTGCACATGGTTTACAAGGTGCCAAAGGCTGCAGACCTCGGAGGCTTCCTGGAATTTCATGCGCGAAACCCGAAGGGCCTTCCGGCTGGCTTGGGCAAGGTTGCAGAGTTGCCCCCTGCAACTAGTGTGGCCGAGAAGATGCTACGTGAGGCTGTGTTCATTCTCATGGATGGCGGCTGCGACAGCATCATCACAAAGCTTCTTAGCCAAAGTGCCCTGATGGGGGCAGAGGCATTGTTGGCGGATCCAGAGATGGAAGGCAGTTTGCACTTCCAAGCCTTGCTTGAGAAGCAGGTGGAGGAGGAGGCAGAGAAGCAGGCCAAGCTGCTTTTGCAGCAGCAAGTGGCCCAGCCAGAGGGCCAAGATGATGCTGGAGATGAGAAAACGGTTGCCGATGAGAACACGCAGGAGGCGGCCCAACCAGACAGCCTGGCCAAGTCCGAGACTGCTTCTGACACTGTGATGGAGTCGCAGCTCGACGAGCTTCCAGAAGAGGAGCAGGAGCAGCCTCCATCGGCACCATGTTCCTGGGCCACGGCTTTCCCCTCTTTGATCATCCCAAAGAGCATGCAGGGCACACTGGCGGGCCTGGATGAGGGCGTTTTCTGGAATCTGCATCGGTTCGCATCTGCGAGCCTCTTGGTGGCATAATCATACGGTTGGGTGTGCAAGGCTTCAGTCAGAGAGAGACTTCACCCACATTCGTGTAAGGAGTGGCGAGCAACGTTCACTTCGTCGAAACGCCCAAAACGGACATGGCAAATTTGCTCCGGGATCACGCAGTGCTGAAGAAGCGGGACCCTGCAGAGGGAGGCGACCGTGTCCTGTATTTGTATGACGTCAAAGGCTACTGCGACAAACAAGCAGCACGGTACCAGGGCCGACTCTGGCATGTGCTTCCGCCGTTTGATGAAACCCACTTCCAAGCCTGCGTCGCGGGAGCTTTCCCGAACTTCGGGAAAGAGGACATCCTGGCGGTACTTGACGGGCGCCGCGTGGACATCGGGGGCAAGCTCAAGAAGAACATCACTGCGGCTGCAAAGGGCTGCGAGCACACCAACAAGAAGCCACTAGGCCCGCAATACCGGTTCATCTACAGCAACGAGGAATTTACTGAGGGTGGATTCGCGTTCAGCCCCCGGGCCAAAGCAATCTGCATGATCCCCGACCCGCTTGAAACCTGCTTCACAGTGTTGGGAATGGCTGCTGAGATGGTCGTGCGCCCTCGGAAGTACGTGGACCTCCCGGGCTCCACTTTCACAAGAGGCCTTTCAAGCTTGAAGTTGCGTTCGAGAGAGGATCACGAGGTGTGCTTGAGTGAGACCAAGTTCGAGGAGCTTCTGAAATTCCAGGCTACCGGGTCGATGGAGCCGGATGGTGATGGGCAGACAATGCCACCGCCGCCGCCGCCAGAGCCGGAAGCTCCGGAGGCGATCTCCAATCAGAACGGGGCCCGGTACTTCTATGCTTGGAGCAGTCAGGAAGAGCTCTACTTGGAGATGCTCAACATCTTTGGGAAGGACGAGACACAGGATACGGCAAAGTTGAAGGTGGTGTCCTTTTGCCCTGGCTTTGGACAAGCAGAACTGGCTTGCATCCGCGAGGATGTGCATTGCCTATCCTTGATTCAGAGCAGAGTTCACCGGGAGGCACGGTAGTGTTGGCAGCAGTTGGATGCTTGAGTGATCGGTGTGTTAAGAAAGAAGAAAGTGCCCCTTGAAACACTGCAGGTTCTGACCGAGCGCCTGACTTTGGCCATCATGATTGAATCCATTCGGGGCAAGCGCGATTTCCTGCGCAATCGGCAATTCAATTTGATGGTGTCTCCCATTTCAGGCCAGGGGAGCACTGAGGCACTGCCTGCTGCAGGCAGCCCGGCACAGGCGGCTCAGCCGCCCACAGCTCCGGCCAAGCCCACAGAGCAGGCCAAGCTCACAGAGCCAGCAAAGCCCACAGAGCAGGCCAAGCCCACAGAGCCAGCAAAGCCCACAGGGCCGGCCAAGCCCGCAGAGCCAGTGCCGGCTCAGGTTACCCAGATGGCTCGCAACATGTTTGATGCAGACGATGATGAAGAGTCCGCGTGACCGTGAGGTGTGTTCGCAAGACATTGGCCCTTTTAATAACTTCTTATCTCCATGACATTCGTGTGCAGGCTGCTGCGTCAATCACGTTGTGTAGTAGCCTGCGCTCAAATTTTGGCAGACCGGTGTTCTTTGAGCAACCCAGGGGTGTCGAACCAAACCATGCACTTCCGATTTGTGAAATGATAACTTATGTGGCTGGCCTTGCTGGCAAACCTGGGACTGCTTTCGACTCAGAATTGTTGTCTTGCCGAAGCTGCAATGGTCGCAGCCCTTGGGGACAAAGAATGGCTGTTGATGCACACGGACGACTTGTGTATGTTTGAGCAGAAGTTGTGGGAAATGCTTGTAGGGCCCGCGCCGCTAGCATTTCTTGAAGCTTGCGTTTGGCAGCGGCGTGCTTCTCCCGCCTCCGCTTTTCAGAGCATGGCTTACGTGTACTTTGCCTTGCAATCCTCGGATTGGCAGGAGATCTTGGCTGACCTTCGATACATGAGCCCGGACAGAGTGCAGATTCGCCACCGCAACACATCAGGTGGGCAGTCACTGGCATCTTCCCCTGCAGAGGCCTGCTTTGCGCCTCGGATTGCAGTCTTGTCATTTCTGTGCGGCATGAGCAGCTGTTGGTTGTCGGGTCCTGTGGCACCATTCTGCTGAGGATGCCCTCTTGCGCTTTGGACGGAGCCTGAACTACAACCTTTCTGGCGACCACAACCGAGCGGTTAAAGGAGGGCACTTGGACTTTTCGTTCGCTGTTCTCCAGATCCAGATCTCCCCCGATGCAATGACCGACCCTTTTGTGCTCAACAATGGGAAGGTGCGGGCTTCCGGTTTCCACTTGGGCAAGCACACCCCATCTCCGGACGCTTTGGTGGGCCTGCAGGGGAGTGACAAGGAACCCAAATGGTCAGTTGTGGTCAGGTCAGTGATCATGTGCGCCCAGACCGAGGCAGTTTGGACTTGCAGAGCCTCAGGCTTGTCCGTCCACGAAACACCGACATGGACTGTGTATGCGGTGCTGGACAAGAGCAGCCAGGACCAGCTGCTCAAGGACAAGTGGTGGGAGCAGAACCTGGTGAGGGCCCAAGCTTTGGGTTCATGCTGCGCAGGAATATTCGGCGGCAGGAGTGCTGTTTCATCTCCGGCTTGCTAAGGACTTTGCTCCACTCTTCGACTACATGCAGCGCAATGTGCCCAAGAAGCTGCGACTGCCCTGTGGATCAGGGGTGGTGCTGTTCACTGGCAAAGAACAGGCCTCTATCATGGCGTGCCTCTTTGAGAAGGAGGTGAAGACGACGCCCTACACTTTGGAGCTGGCCCTGCCAGCAGTGGCCATTCCTACAAGCAAGGAGGCGTGCTGTCAGTTATAGTTCCTGTGTGTAAAGTTCAGTCGTTTTGCAGATGCGTGATGATGGTGACAGGACTTTTGCCTGACACTGGATTCCTTTTCGAAGATCCATGCTCCTGTGGACTTTGTCGTCGCACGAGGTGCAACCAGCATGACGACCCCGACGGTCGAGATCGGCAAGCGACTGATTAAGATGTCCGTGTCTTGCTGTGCCGCCAAGACCTGTGTCACGACCGATGGCTTGGGACCTCTGATGAAGCTTGCTGACATCGTGAAGCCACATGACTCGGCAAGGAGCTGCGTGTGACTCATGCGGTCTTTAACTGTGTCCTGTGCCAAACTGGGTTGTGCAGGACGGCAAAAGCGATTCGCTCTTTGGAAGATGAGGTCATTGCAGCTGCAGTTCGGATGAGCGAGCTGAAAAGCAAGCTCGAGATCTTGAAGGCGACTGAGGACTCTGAGGACAATGAAGCATCGACTGGCCATACGAAGGAGGCGATTGAGGACAAGAATCCGGCCAAGAAGCTGAAGCAGTCTGGGACGAAGCATGACATTGACATCATGTGAGGTGATATCTGGCTCACAGATGGATGCACTGCTGATTTCACACGGTCCTGAACCTGGCCTGTGCACAGTACGTTCTTGCAGTCATACTCATTGACGAGTGATACCCTATCGGACTTTGAAGCACAGGCTACTACAGGCGTGAAATCATGGTTTTTACACTTAAAGGCAAGCCAGCTTGGACTTGAGGCACCGGCTTGCTTGGCTTGAATCCCTTTCCGCTTACTCTGCCCATGAGTATTCATTCAGTCTGCACTCATCTTTCTGAAGCCTTTGCCAAGGGTTGTAGTTCGGCAATAATAAATTAGACAGGCTGTCGATCTCTCAAGTTCACCAGTAGTGCTGCGAAACAGTAATTTCCCGGCCAAGGTTGTCCAAGCCGGCAGGCCGGCGGACCCTCTTCGGATGAGCTACAAGGCTGGCCATGGCAGCTTCCCTTCAGACAGACATTTGCTAGCATCTTCAGGTTGTATTGGCTTGTGACACACAGTGACGCATACAAGTTCTAGCTTGCAGCGGTGGTGTCTTCAATCTCTCGATGTCAGCTGCAGTTTTGTGGCTAGGTGAGCGTTCCCGGGCTTTCGCAGCTTAGCAGGGTGTTCGGTTGAGGACATCGCATCAACGTCCTGAGTGTTCATGCAGGCCATTGATTGATTTCACATTGACTAGAGTCGAACGTTGCAGCACTTGCAGCCATGCTTCGCAGACGCGTGCGCGGTAAACAGACTGTAAGAGGGGATGAGAAGCCTGGAAAGCGGCCTGCAGCTGCAACGCCTGCAAAGAGTCGCTCGGTCAGACGCCGCCCTGCAGTGAACAGCAGGCCAGGAAGCAAGACTCATGTTCGCAAAGTTGTGAAAAGCATGGTGCCCAAGTCCCGTACAAGTTACGCCATTTTCGTTGAGGAGCAGTATCCCTTGGTGAAGGCTGCTCTTTTCCCCGACCTTGGGCAAGGCAAGTGCACACAGCAGGGTTGTCGTCAAGTGGTTGCTCACATTGCCAAGGCTTGGAATCAACTGGGGGAAGATGAGGCAAGTTACTACAAAGAGCAGGCTCAGTTGGAATGCCGTGAGCGGCAAGAGGCTATGCAGGGCATCATTGGCGGGAACAATGCAGCTCAGGACCAAGTCTGCCGAGAAGGGCAGGAGCACGTGCAGGTTGGGCCTTTCGAGTACATCAGTGGGGCTGAGGTTCTGACAAGAGGAACATGTGCTTCAGTGTACCTTGTGCGGCACAGCTCTTTGAGAAGCCAGGCACGATCAGTGGTGTATTCTTCGCAACAGAATTACCGCTACGAGCTACAGGGCTTAAAACTGCTGCGTGAGTCGTTGGACCTGGAGGCAGATGTCCATCTGGATGATCTGTACGTGCGGGTTCTTCATTTTAGTGACACAGGACCATGCCCAACAATTGTGCAGGAGATGCTTGAGCCACTGGAAGCATCTCGCTTCGTGAAGCCTGAGTTCAAGGATGTCGTGGTTCAGATGTGCCGATCCCTGGCGCACCTGCATGCGCATTGCATTTTGCATCTGGACGTTCGCCCCAAATCCTGGCTGTTCAACCCCATGTCCAAGATCGCTAAGCTCAGCAACTTTCACGCGGCCATGCGAGTGGAGTCCATCAATGAGCCCACCCGTCTAGATTATCACCCGTATGCACAAGCCCACCGGGCGCCCGAGCTCCACTGCCCTATTGCAGCTGTCCAGGTCTCTTGGCGCACGGAGTCGTGGTCTTTGGGGACCACCGTTGCAGAAATTGCAAGTGGTGTTGGCGTGTTCTCGTCTGTGGGAGAGATGCTCAATTTTGAAGCCCGTGGCCCCGAGAATGTAAAATCAAACAGGGCACTGCAGTGCCTGAGCCCAGGAGTGCGCATGGCTTTGCTTTCCTTGGTAGCTCGTGAAGCGGAGAGACTTTCTGTAAGTCAGTTCGTCCAGCAGAAAGACTTGCTGAACCACTTTGAAGATGTAGGAAGCAACCATCCAGGCGTTGCTGATTGAGATCCCCTTGAAGTCTTGGCAGTGCTAGATTCGACCGATCTATCCACTATCGGTAATGAACCGTACAGGGGCTCTCACCGATAGGTGTTGCAGGTTTGCCGTTGAAGGCGCTTTTGACAGTGATGTGCCTCCTGTCCCACAGGATCACTCCAGCAGGCTTAAAAACTTGAGCGTTGCTTCCGTGCCGACTGTGCTGCTTGCAGAAGCTTATCCTGTCACCCGTTGGGACCTTTGGACACTTCCAGTGCTTGCCCATGAAAGCTGCTTAGATTGAGATGGAGGTGAATGCTGCCGCCCTTTCTTGAAATTAAGACAACGCTGGTTGAGTCACGCAGTTGCATGCTCTTGGTCCATGTCCTGTGCTTGCAGTGAGTGTCGCAGGGCAAGCTGCTGCCGCGGAGAGCTGCTAGGCCAGAGCGCAAACAGGATTCGTTCTGGCTTGGCCGCATGTTGCTGAGGTTTGGTGCATGGTGTTACAGTTAGATAAGTGTGGACAAGGGTTATGCCAGAGTGCGGGAGAGGTTGATTTGCATCGGGGCTTCACGAGTCTCTGAAAGGATGTGTTCAGCACCATTGACGCAACACTTTCCGCTCATGCATGCAACCTGTCGGGCTTTAGTCTGAGTCTTTAGTGAGTGTGGAGATCACCCAATTGTTTGTGGCAATGGGGAAGGCTGCAATGAAGCGGCCTGCTGCCAGAAAGGCGGCCAAGAAGCCTGAGGCTATGGAGGTCAAGGTTGAGCAACAGGCTAAGCCAGAGGCTGCTCTTCATGGTCAGGGTGCGGAAGACAAGGACCCAGATATCGCTATGGCTACTGGCATGGTCAGGCCGGGGGCGACGGTTCAACTGCTGAGAGAGGCGGCAGGGCTGTTGCGGACTAACAAGAGCGATGAATTGGTATGGGCTTCTGCTTTTGATGGGACGGGCATGCCATCTTATGCGCTGAAGCTCTTGTCGGTGCCCGCACGGCAGCTATATGGTTCCGAGTCGGCGCCTGGCCCAGCCTATCATCTGCTGAAGAATCTCGAGTTCCGGAGCCAAAACGGGCATCTTTTCAAGGACTGGTGTTACCCAGCGGGAATTGGGTTTGAAATTTGTTCGTGTCTTGTTTATAGTTGAGAACCATTTGGCGCCTGGCAGGACGTCTGTTCAAGCTTCGAAGGTTCAGGGTTTTGTTACCTGCATGGCGCCTGCTGCGAAATTGGGGCCACTTCCCCCATGCTCCTGACTGCTGGATTCGTTTGCAAGAGCTCTTCCTTGCACAACGGACTTCGTTGGGAGAAAGATCCCTTGGCCTCCGACTCGGCTAGCTTGGTGTCCTTTCAGCAGACCATCAAGCTGATTAAAAAATCTAATCCTCGGTTCTTCATCCTGGAGAACGTGCAAGGTTGCAAGTTTCTGGGCCTGATTCGGAAACATTGTATCTTCGCAGAGATCTCGTAGGATAGTTGCGTTGCCGTTGCAGTTTGATTCCACACCCGAGGGCCCCTCGCAAGCGCCGTGCCCCAGAGGATGAGAATGCGGCGGAGTCCCCCAAGGACAGCATGAATCACGATAGCACACTGAAGCCTCTGACAATTTGAATTTGTAGGACGCCATGTGTGGAATCCTGAGCAGGATTTTTTCGACCAGGTGATAGAGAAGGAGCTGCCCAACTTCACGGTGCAGTGTGTCAACCTGATTTCTGCCCCCATGGCCGAGTGTCGGCCCAGAGTGTGGTGGCTTGGGTCCCAGGAGCCATCCTTCTCTGCCTCCGAGTGGAAGCAGCAAGTTACTGTGATCTCCGAGGCAGCCAAGAGCATTCCTCGCCAAAGCTTGACGTTTTATTTTGAGCAGAGTCCCGAGCCGTCCAAGGAGGGACCGGGCCCAGAGACCGAGAAGTACGATGGTGAACGAGAGTGTTCTTACATCCAACACTTCTCAAGGCAGTTTCAGAAAGCCGTGAGCGCTGGCAAGATTCCAGAAAATGCTGTGCCACAGTTGCGGCATCTCAGGCCGTCGTATGTGTGCGCAGCTTTGCGGGGTCTGGCTCCGTGCCAGCAGGCAATTGCTGACCTGGCCCTCATGATGATCACCTACAAGCATGGCGCCTTGAAGGACTTGCCCGTGGCCGTTGCTGACGTGTCACAGAGCAGTGACCGATTGCAGATGTCAGTCACAGGCATTTGGGGAACTCTGACGACGAGTTCCAAGCTTTTCGATTTTAAGTCGGAGAGGTTCATGCATCCGAGAATGCACATGCAGCTCTTGGGAATGGACATCGACGATGTGTGCCTGACTTGGTTGAAAGACAAGGAGCCCCTGCGACCACTAGTTTCTTGAAGCTGTTATGTAATGTTGTTCACACGGCTGCTCTTTGTTCAGATTCAGCTTTGAATATGCTTCAGCCAGGAGATGACGGACATGGCCGGCAACGCAATGAGCATTTCACAATGCACACAGGCACTGCTGCCATTGCTTTCCCACCTCGGTTACTTCGAACCTGGCGCGATCACTCCAAAGAGTGTTGGCCCGGCTCCTCTTTGCAAGCGTGTGCAAGGCAGCTCTGCCGCAGGCCACTTGGTTTGATGTTGTGTATGTTTTCGGTGGTACATAGGCGTGTCATTGGAAATGTTGGCAACCCCAGAATCTTTCTTTCTTCTCACAGCTTTGGGTTGCTCCAGGTGCAGGTGGCAAGGAGATATCCGTTCTGTGGGTTGCTGGTGGCGGCCTTGCGTCACCACTTCTTTTGGACAAGGAGGCTTGGCCTAGGAAGCCGATGGCGGCCGTGAAGGTTGTTGAGTTTGCACTTGAGCCTACCATGCAGCAAGCCCGGGTTCTGTATGCCAAGGCCTTTCCAAAGGTTGCATGCTTGCAAACGAGCCTTGACGTCATACAGGTCAGGTGCCTCAAGTCCGTGATTGTGGCTGGGCGGGCGCCGGCAAGCAAGAAGGCCACCGAATGGTTCCTGAAGTCATGGAAAGATTTTTCCAGCCACCGTGGCGCAAAGATCGTGTTAGTTCTGGCCAGCCCCCGGCCGCTTGCAATCCCAGATGAGACTGCATGTGGTTGGATCTTTGGCAGCCATGAGATTGGTTGGTCTTTGTTCTCCAACTTCGACACGTCTTGCTACGTCACAATCCTTTGCCAGAATGAAGGTCGACAGGGCTCGGATATGTCTAAGATGCTGGCGGAAAAGTTGGGGGGGGTCCTGAGGCTGCCCAATGTCCAGGGCGTCAACAGGCACGTCAATGAGGAGCTGCCAAAAACGGAGAGCACCAACAAGAGGGACCTGAAGATCCTGGCCGCTGCGCAGAAGCTGGAAGGCTTTGCTGAGAGCGGCAAAAGCAGCCAGACTCGCTTCGTCGATGCATCGCGCAGGTCTTTGCCAGTGAAGCTTGGCATTCCGGATCCGACAAGGGCTTCCTTGCCTGTGTCCATCGCCGAGGATGGACGTGTGAACCGGGTGTGCATGCTTGACGCCTTGGGGTACAGAGATGCAGACGCAAATTTGTCCTTGCTCTCCACCGCTTCTCAGCAGTCCATGCTGGCCTGTACATTTCCCGCGGCTGTTGTGGCCACAATGCTGAATGCAGCTGCCGAGTTCTTGTGAGCTCAGTATCTGTGCAGGGTGCTCGCGGCTAAGAGGACATTTTGGCTTGCACGCCGCTCCAGCGCTAGGACCTTCATCACACAGAAGCCTTCAGTAACTAAAGCAGCTATCACACCTTCTGGGTCCAGCTGTGTGGAGCTGTGAGTCCTCATTGGCCAAGACAACAGTCTCAGTGACGGTCACCAGCCAGAAAAAGAAATCGGACACAGACCATGTGCAGGTACATGGCTGAAACAAGTTTGCACTGGCTCTTTGCAAAAGTCTCGTGCCAGGCTGCCGCGGAGCTGCTGCTGGCAGCTGCAACGGGCACTCGCCCACAACTCCATGAGACTCCATATAAATCGACATCTCCACCAAACATATATATTCTCATGAACCTGCTGCAGAGCTGATTTCCTCACGGCCTGCAAAATGGCGCTGGCCAATTCTCAATCTTAATAGCAGCCCCCAGGGTAAAGAGCTCTTGCTAACCCAAACTTGCCAAAAAGTGCACACTTTTTGAAACCAGCCCACGCAGACAATAAGTATATATTTATGTAACATATATATATATATATATGTAAATGGATAAAAGTAAGTATCTATGTATATATATATATAGATGTAAACGAATATATATATATATACACATACATATATACATATATACATATATACAGATATACAGATATACAGATATACATATATACATATATACATATATACATATATACATATATACATATATACATATATACATATATACATATATACATATATACAATATACATATATACATATATACATATATACATATACATATTACATATATGCATATATATATATATATATATATATATACATATATACATATATATATATATATGTATATGCATGTAACCCTAAACCCTAAAAGGGCTTGGGCATTTCGATGGAGGGCTCGTGTTGGGTCTTGGCGTTGCGGCTTTGAGGGCTTCAGCCATTTGCAAGCTTCAGCCGTCAGGGTTTAGGGTACCCTGGCCCCGAAGCCTAGCCCCTATGCCCTAAGCTCCCGAACCTAAAACGGCAATACCCCAGACTCTCGACCCAGGCCGGTGGGTACACAAGGCCCGTAGCAAGGGACCATGCAACTACCTAAACCCTAAACCCTAAGCCCTAAACCCTTCATCACCAGCCACCCAGGCAAGGAGGCTTCAGAGGAGGCTGAGAAGCTGATGCTCCCAAGTAGGCAGCGCTGGGTCTCGTGTTGGTGCTCTCAAGGTTGAGGGGTAAAGGGTTTGGGGTTTTAGGGTTTAGGGTTTAGGACTTGTGGTCGTATAGGGATGAGACTTAGGCATCTCGCGGAATGACTAGCAGACACGGGGTGCAGTGGTTGGGGCTTCGGGTTTAGGGTCCAGGCTTCGGGTTTAGGGTCCAGGCTTGGGGGGGCGGGGGGGGTAGCGCTGCAGCGAAGTGATTCATGAAGCCTGGTGCTCTACCCTGAAGCCCAAGTAAGCTTGAGGGTGTACACAATGCAGCTGGACAGGGATAGCTGGTGCTCCTAAACCCTAAACCCTAAACCCTAAACCTCAAGGCTTACGTGGATTCCAAAATAGGGAACAGGGGCCGAGGCTACATGTAGGACTTGCAACGTGCCTTGACCACCACACGCTCGCGTACTAGGCTTACACTTAGCCAATATGTTTGAACTTTTACCCCCCCTAAACCCCAAACCCCAAACCCTAAACCCTAAACCCCAAACCCTAAACCCTAAACCCTGCAACCTACAAAACCTGGGAGTCCGGACAGGAATCTGAGCTCTCCCGCCAGCGGTGACCCGGTGATTGGGCCGACTCAGGACATGGTCCTCGGGCGCGGGCACTCAGGGGTTGTAGGGTTTTTAGGGTTTAGGGTTTAGGGTTAGGGAGGGGGTTGTAGGGTTTTTAGGGTTTAGGGTGTATAGGGTTTAGGGTGTAGAGTTAGGGAGGGGGTTGTAAGGTTTTGGGTTTTGGGTTTATAGGGTTTAGGGTTATGGAGGGGGTTGTAGGGTTTTCAGGGTTTAGGGTTTTGGGTTTCGGGCACTCAGGGGTTGTAGGGTTTTTGAGTTTGTTGTTTTTTTAGTTGTTTTTGTGAGGGGGGGGGGGGGGGGGGGGGGGGGGCAGGGCTTCTTTTGGGGTTTAGAGCTTTCGGTCTTGTTGGTGGGCTTTAGGGCTTTCGGGCTTTAGAGGGGTTTCGGGTTTAGGGTTTTAGGGTTTAGTTTCCTTTTGTTTTTGAGAATTTAGGGTTTTTAGGGCTTAGATGGATTTATGGATCTTCGAGTTTTAGGGAGCCGTATGCAGTCTTTGCGGCATGACGGCCCTCACCCAGTACCCTTTCTGCTGAGGGTGGTTGTCTAAGTTGGGGTCTCTTTTGGGGGCGTCCTGTTTATAAGGCGTCGTTCTATATGGGGACCCAAACAGGGACCCCAATTCAGGAACGACTCATGAAGTAGTAGTAGTAGTAGTAGTAGTAGTAGTAGTAGTAGCAGTAGTAGTAGTAGTGGTAGTAAGACCTAAGGTTGGCAGATCCTTGCAAAGTCGGTGGGGATGTTCCATGCAAGAGTAGCTCACAGGGTCCGCGCATGGTGCCTTGAGGTTTGTGGGCTAAGGGGTTTAGGGGTTCTGTAGTGTTCAGGGTTTACGCTTGATGGAGTGCCCCCAAAAGCGGGGCATTGGTGGTCTGCAGCAGCTGGATGTAGCCCAGCTCTTTGCTACAAAGCCCAGCGTACCCTACGAGCCTTGCCAACCCAATAAAGCCTAGAAGCCCTAGAATGGCAGAGCCAGGCTGCCCTTAATCCCTAAGCCCCAAGCCCGAAAAGCCCTAAAAGCCCTAAAAGCCCTAAAAGCCCTAAAAGCCCTAAAAGCCCTAAACGCCCTAAACGCCCTAAAAACCCATAAACCCATAAACCCTAAACCCTAAACCCTAAACCCTAAACAGCCTAAACCCTAAACCTAAAGCCCGCATAAATCCTAAAGGCCCTCGACCTGGCCCAGGCTCTACTACATGACGTCTACAGCGTCGCCCTTGCACGGCCCACCAAAGGCCTCCGCAGTGATTGGGCCCGACTTAGGCTTTAGGGGGTTTAGGGTTTAGGGTTTAGGGTTTAGGGTTTAGGGTTTAGGGCTGAATTTTGGGTGGAGGTGGTTCCTTATGCAAAATCAAATACGCAAGAGGACCCTCGACCATTTAGGGTTAGGGTTTAGGGGTTCAAGGTTCCAGGGTTAAGGCTTAGGGTTTAGGGGGTACGAACTCCCGAAGCACTCTAAACCCCAAAAAGCAGAGAGTTTGTATGCCCAAGCATCTGCGTGATCCTACCTCCTGTTGTTTATGGACTTGCGCGGCTTAATGTCTTGTGGGGTGGCCAAATGTGGCCCTAAGCCCTAAACTTTGCCCTCTCTACACCCTAAACCCTGAACCCTGAAGCGTAAGCCCTAAACCCTAAACCCTAAACCCTTTACGTCTTGGGCGCAAGGTGATTCCAAGGGGCACTTGAGACGGGCTCGGCTTCCCTCAGATCTGTGCATCTGTAAGCTTTAAGCCTTCTGCCTTGGCAGAGGTTCAGCCTTTTTCGGGTCAGGGTTTAGGGTTCAGGGTTTAGGGTTCAGTGTTTAGGCTTTTGGCCTTTTGGGCTTTAGGATGCAAAGCTTAGACGATTAGGGTCTAGAGGCTTGGGCTATTCTTATTGAATTCTGAGGGTTTAGGGCTCAAGGGTTAAAGGTTTAGGGTTTAGTGGGGTAGCTTCGCTAGCAAACCTTTTGTCTAGCCCTTCTAGATCTCGTAGCCATCGCCCCCTGCACTAGAGAAGCCTCATAGAGAGTACCAGACCTGAAAGCTCCCCTGCTGAACTGTCCGTTCTATTGGCTTCCCGTAGTTGGAGCGCAGCCCCCACTCAATTCACCCAAAAAGAGAGGTCGTGAGCTCCGTGCAAGAGCTGCAAGACCTCACGGCGGAATGTTCTGCAGGGAACATGCTTGGAACTCAGATTCTTCGGACCTAAACGACCAGTTCTATGTAAACCCCAGACCCAGGGCCCGAAACCCGGAACCCTAAACCCTGGGCCTACATCAAGTCCTGGATCAGAAGTCTGGCGATCCAACAAGCTTAGGATGTTTTTTTTCGGTTTAGGGTTTAGGGTTTCGGGTCCTTGAGACTGGTGTACATCCTAATTCAACGGTTCAGGGTAGAGGTTGTCGGGTTGAGGATTTAGGGGGCAGAAGCCCACAACTCTAAGACCCTAAGTCCTATTAACCTATTAGCTCCTAGCCCCTAAACCTGAAGAATCCCGGAAACTACAAACCACGCGAATCCGACAAACCCAAAATCCTCAAGCCCTACACCCTAAACCCAGCACGGCCCCAAGCCCCGAAGCCCTAAGCCCCTAAACCCGAAACCCTACACACTGGGCCAAAAAACCCTATACCCTGAACCTAAGCCCTATACCCTGAACCCGAAACCCTAAACCCTGAACCCTAAACCCTAAACCCTGAAGCTGCTCGAAGGTCGCACCTTCAGGAGGTCCACGTCCCAAGGGCCATCCTCCAGGAGGTGGCTCCGGAGGCAGGTGCAGGGTTTAGGGTTTAGGGTTTAGGGTTTAGGGTTTAGGGGTTAGGGGTTTAGGGGTTTAGGGGTTTAGGGGTTTAGGGGTTTAGGGGTTTAGGGGTTTAGGGGTTTAGGGGTTTAGGGGTTGAGGGGTTTAGGGGTTTAGGGGTTTAGGGGTTTAGGGGTTTAGGAGTTTAGGGGTTTGGATTCTAGGGGTTTAGGGGTTTGGATTCTAGGGCCTATTTCTAGGGCCCTGAAATCAGGTAGTGTTTGGGTTTATGGGTTTAGGGAGGGTTTAGGGGGGTTTAGGGATATTTCCCAAGATCGGGGTATGCTTTTTACAGCCCGTGCGGTGATGATAGCCACAGGTGCCAGTACAACATGTAGTGATAGTGGCAACAAGAAAGACAACGAAAGTGGTTGCAACAACAACAGACGTAGTAGCAATCGTAGTAGAATGGTAA